TGGTATGAGCTGATAGATGTGTAGATCTTCTCGTTACCTTTTCGTGGATATAAGGATTGTCGGAAACGGACCTATAACGAAGAAGTTATGGCCTTCGGAAGATTGGTGAAATTAGGGTTTCAGCGGGTATGCAGCGCGTACACAAGTGTACACATAGCATACTAGGGCGGAGGCCAGTACGCGGGGTGTACATTGGTGTACGATGGGATTACTAAGCCAAATGGTCGCGATTATCCTTTAGAGTACGCATGGCGTACAAGAATTACGCATGGCGTACTCCGGTCAGCCCAAACCCTATTTTAGGGTCTTGGACCCTATTTAAGCTCCTTATCTCATCACCTAACCCTAATATCTTCATCCTTCATCCCTCTAAAACCTAGAAACGAAACCCAACCCCCATTTGAGTGGTTTTTGAGCTTTTGGGTGGTATTTCATGCTTTTGGTGTTCATAGAGGAAGAAGGAGCTTCTTGGAGAAGTGTGGGATTGCTTGAGGCTTTTGGAATCAGGCTTATTGCATCTTGATCTACATTTTGGAGGTATAAAGTTTCTACCTTGGTGATCTTATATGTTAGATATAGTTCATGGAGTATTTTCTGCATTTTGGAGTCTTTTGTGTTAAAGATGGGTTTTTGATCTACCCTAGAAGCAATGGGTGCTAGATCTTAGCTCCATTCAGTCCCTAGGTTCATAAAAATGCAAGATTTATAGTGTATTTTGGTCCATGTAAGAATTAAGACCTTTTTTAAGTCCTTATTGAGCTTTTGAGTCCCTTTTTGCCATGCAAGCACGTAAAGTTGCGAACTTTACGTGATAAGTAGTCTTATAGAATCAGATTTGAAAGTTTGGCACTTTGTCTTAACCAATTAAGGGCTTATTGGAAGGAAAAACGGGTCTGAGGAGTACGTTGGGCGTATGTAAGTGTACGCTCAGCGTAATGCTGAGTTTGTGCATAAAAGGCTTGTACTCTGTGCTTCGAGGTCGTGTACGTTGGGAGTACATCTTGAGTACGCAGGACGTGCTCCCCAGTTCAGCATTACTGGGCCTTTTGATTTTGGGCCTTGTTGGGCCATGGTTAGGCTGAGGACTTTCTTGGTATTGGTCCCTTGTGAATTTTAGGCCCAATTAGGAAGTTGGGCCATATTGGGCTTGGGTTGCCATCTTGGGCTTTTTGTGCAATTGGGCCAAGTAAGAAAAGGGTAAAATGGTAAAATTGTCTTTTACCCTTTAGGAAGTCTGTTTATGGAGTGGGCCTCAAATTTTGGGCTATTGGGTTATTTATTGATTAAGATTGTATTTATCGATAGTTGGCGCGAGGATATCCGGTTCAGCGGTCCGAGCAGGATTTGATTATCAGCAGATTGAGGTGAGTTTTCCTCACTGTATTTTCGGGTCGAAGGTACTAAGGTCGACCCATTGGATTGTTATCCTGGTTTATTGCATGTTGGTATGTTGTAGTGATCTGTTAGATCCGTATCGTGGTAATTAGGATGTTGCTATGTTTAGTGATATGTAAGATATGTCTGATTGTCTTTCGACTGGTCATATGTTTATATGTTACATATGTCAATGTAGTGAGGTTGGGTTGAGATTGTACTGCTCTGTGCTACCAGTCAATAAACTCGGTAATGTTAATATTGATATGTTGTTATGTTATAGTATGTGTGGATATGTGTTGGGTATTGGGTTGAGGCGGATCAGCTGGGACTGAAGGCCAAGAGACCCAGGGAGGCCCGGATAAACCGAAGGCCTGCGAGGTGGTCCAGTCAGGCCGAAGGCCCGACGAGCGGTCCGGATAGGCTGTAGGCCTTGCGAGGCGGTCCAGTCATGCCGAAGGCTCGGGAGTGGTCCAGATAGGCTGTAGGCCTTGTGAGGCGGTCTAGTTAGGCTGAAGGCTCGGTTATGCATGCTATTGTTTGATATGCGGTATGTGGTGGTACTTTGGGGGAACTCACTAAGCTTTGTGCTTACAGTTTCAGTTTATTGTTTCAGGTGCTTCAGATGGTTGTGGCAAGGCGAAGGCGTGACCGTACACATCGTTGGTTTTACTACCGATTGGATCTTAGGAGACTCTGATTTTAAATCATGTTTTGGAAACAATGGTTTTGTAAACACTTTTATTAGTAAATGAGTTATTTTGAAAAGTTTAAATTTGTTGAAATTTCTGGGATGTTACACATTTTTTGGGATTAGATTGTGATTAGCTTTTATGTAATCGAAATTTCAATGGTAATGATGTGTCTATGGGTTATAGTAGAGAGCTGATCTTTAGAGATAATGAAACTTGGAGACATAAACAAGTCATAAGCCAGTGACCAGGAGGAGCTCCCGGGCCAACACTCGAATGATAAAATCAGAGATATATATGAGGAACATCTCGTAATTCTTAATGACTTTTTTTGGGTGATAGTGTACCTTGTTAAATGGTTTGGATGATGATTTATAATCGATGCGAGGGTGGTAGGTTCTTCCTCTACCAAGCATGTTGAAAGTCCTATCGCATTAATGGTTTAGTATACTGAAAGTACATTAATATGTTCTTTATAACCGTTTGCTAGTTTTTTCTCGCTTATCTAAGGTTTTTTCAAGTATCAATCATTATAAAGACTGTATTGCGAGTTTCGATGCTCCTTGGTACTTGCTATGTAACAATCATAAAATTCTGGAAAATTTTAAACTTTTTAAACAACCCAAAAATCATCATTGTTTACAGATTGTTTTCAAAATAAGTGTCACATCAGAGAAATCCCAAAATCATGAAATAAAATATGAGGAGGTGCACGATCACGCCTTCGCCTTCCCGCGATCCTCTGAAGTACCTGAAAGAAAATCCAAAACTGTAAGCCCAAAGCTTAGTGAGTTCCCCCAAAATACCGATACATAACAATTAGCACAAATATAATAACAACATGTAATGGGTCCACAGATTAACAGACTGAATTACCCCTGAGCCCACAACATAAGTCTAGCTTGCCCTCGGCCCACAACTTATGTCTGGCTTAATCCCCGACCTGATCAGTCCTTGGATTAAATGCCGCTAAACCCTCAATACGAGTCTGGCATGACCTTCTTGGCCCTCAGCTCGTATCTGGAATGCTCATGAGTCCTCAGTATGAGTCTGGAATGCCCTCCCTAGCCCTCAGCTCATATCTAGAATACTCCAGGGTTTGCTGGCTACAGCATGGAGCAGTACCACCTCAACCCAACCAACACAAAATGTCGACATATAGCAGATAATATCATACACAGATAAGCAGACAGTATCACAGGTAGTCCTACAAATCTACCAGACTAGCATATCAAATCTAGAATGCATATCTATTCCATACTCAGCATATCAACAATTATCTGGTTATCAAACCAATGGGACGGCCTTGGTGCCTTCAACCCGAAAGTATAGTGAAGAAGACTCACCTTACAAGTAGTTGAACTGATAAGCTCAAACTCCGAATCTCAGCTCCGACTCAAATGCCTACAACCACCATGTGACCAATTCCATTAAAATCCAAAAATACCCAAAATGCCCTCAAAGGTCAGCTTGGTCAACCATGGCCAAATTCAAAGTTAATGGTCAAGGTCAACAGTCCATGTTGACCCAACTCATCGAGTTCTATGGTACTCAGAACGTCGGGGAAAACCCTAGCCAACTCGCCGAGTTGGCTGGAAAACTCGCCGAGATTTCCCCAGCTTAATACATTCAGATGATTCTTCGATTCCAGGGACTCTAAGGCTTAGATATGAATTCCAAATGTGTCTAAAAGGATAAAGTTTCCAACTTTATCCTTTGGGACTACTCCAAAAGCTTAAAAACACTTCCCTAAGGCTTGAAAACTCAAAGGCTTAACCATTAAGCACAAAATCCTAGAGATCTGGAACCCAACCTTTCCAGAAGAGATATTAGCCTCAAAAACATCCCAAAGGTTGGTGCTTTATGGACATGCATGTCCAATGCATGTCTTGAACCCAAAATGGGTCAAAAAGGGAAAAATGTGACCTAAACTCCATGCATGGCATCAAAGCTTGGCTAAAGACCAGATCTAACCCACTATATGGTCACTTTGACCTGTAGATTCATAAAGTTTCAAACTTTATGAAGTCCATCCATTGCAACATCCAAGAATAAGGAGAAAAAGGGACCAAACTCAAGATCTAGCTACATAGATAAATAAAAATCGGATGTTAAATACTTACAATGGTCCAAAAGAGTGCCAAACTGAAGATGAGAGCTTAGCTACCTAGATCCTTGCCCCCTTCTCTCAATCTTATCCTTCTTTTGCTCCAAAATGCCACACTAACTCATGATGTCAGATGGAATGAAGATTAGGGTTCACAAAGCCAATAATAGGGTTTGGAGGCTGATAAAAGATCAGCCTCAAGGACTTAAGGAGGTTATATATGGTGCAAACCCTAAAATTTAGGTTTCTCATCTAGCCGCCAACTCGTCGAGTTTTTCCCCACCAACTCGTCGAGTTGGTCCAAAAAGATGTGCGGCCGAAAACCTTCCAACACGTCGAGTTGAGGCCATCAACTCGCCGAGTTCCAAGGGAAACTTGCTTAATAAAGAATATATCTAATACCTGGAAACCGGGATGTTACATGCTACGATGACCTCTTGTACTTTAGTCGTTAGCTTCAATGTTCAAGATAAATGTGTGGTTTGACATATGGACATTGTTCGGTGTATTCGTACTGTTCGGTAAATCCATATGGTTCGGCATATCCATATGGTTCGGCCTAGTGAGGGTATAAACCTAATTTCGAGCTGTATACCCTATCAACCCCCCCCCCCCCCAACTGGATTATTACTATCTTCGAAAGTAATAATCTAAATTTTGCATCTCGACGATGTAACCGTTAAGTGGATAAGAATAAAAACCTAAATTTAAATATGCTATGACTATTTGACGACTATAAAGTTCATCATTACCCATATAACCATCTCTTCAGATCTTTTTCATTTAAGAGTCTACAATATATAACCACTGTTCTCTTTATTCTATAAATGAACCCTTGTTCTGCTTCTATAAATATTGCCTCATCTTCTGCTATTCCTTTCACATCCCTCTCTTTGATTAACCCTTCTCCATTTTTTGCCAACAAAGACATTTCTAGCATCCATATTGTGATGTCCAAACTCACCCCCCAAAGTTTGGCCGACATCACGAAGAAGTACGATGTCGATCCTCAATTTCAACCTTGCTTGTCGGAACCTGGAACTGCCATTATTAATGCCCATGAGGGTTTTGTCAGCGTATATCAAGTTTTATTCAAGTCTGGTCTTCGGTTTCCGACGTTCGATTTCCTAAGGGTGGTGTTAGATTATTACGATCTTCACATCACACAAATTACTCCGAATGGATTTCGAAATATAATATGTTTTGTCATGATATGTCCAGCTCTAGATATCGTTCCTACCCTCATGGTATTTCGTCATTTTTATGTGACCATGTCCATCGATAATTGGTTGTCTTTCTCTATCCTCCATGGTTTAGTAGAAATTTGCGATGGTCTTCTGACTTCTATTAAATATTGGTAGGATGAGTTCCTTTTTGTCCGTTTATCTGCTTTTCTTGGGACCATGGCTTATGGAATTTCTTATGATAGGGCTCCTGATCCTACTCCGGAGTTAACGCTCGAAGAATGAATCATCACTAATATCTTATCTAAGAACTTTATGAAATGGTCAGATCCTGAAGAGACCATGCTGGGTTGGCAGGGTTGAATTCTCATTGGAAAAAATTAGGGAAATGACCTTTGGAAAACCTAGGAGGTAAAATGGTTACTCTTTTGGAGCGTTTGCACATGAAATGGCTTGTGAGCACTAGCTTGGTAACAGAGGAAACACATGTGCCCAATTCGCATTCTCGCTTGAAATCTAGCATGGATTTCAGTCCAACCCCTCTTGATCCTGCTGCTGATCCTACTCCGGAGTTAACGCTCGAAGAATGAATCATCACTAATATCTTATCTAAGAACTTTATGAAATGGTCAGATCCTGAAGAGACCATGCTGGGTTGGCAGGGTTGAATTCTCATTGGAAAAATTAGGGAAATGACCTTTGGAAAACCTAGGAGGTAAAATGGTTACTCTTTTGGAGCGTTTGCACATGAAATGGCTTGTGAGCACTAGCTTGGTAACAGAGGAAACACATGTGCCCAATTCGCATTCTCGCTTGAAATCTAGCATGGATTTCAGTCCAACCCCTCTTGATCCTGCTGCTACTGTGCCTCCTTCTCTGATCAAGAAAATTGTGAAGACAGGTTGTGACATCAGGAAACCTCATTCCTCTTCTACTAGGGCATATTTAAGGAATTTTCCCTCTGAAAGGAAACAAGGGGTAATGGTGAAAAGACCCTTTCTTTATAAGGTGTAATGAGTCGAGAAGATTTCATAATCGATCTCTCTCCTCCAAAACAAAAAAGGACCATTTGTGGTGGTGATGTAAAGAGTCGTGGTTTGAAAAACCCTATTGTTAAGCCTTCGACTGAGGTTATGAACCGTGAATCTTACTTGGATCCTTCTTCAACAGTTACCTTTCATAATTGTCCAGTTACTTCCAACCACGGACTGAAGAATGCCAAAGGGGCTCTCCCTATACCGGATGTTGACATATATGATCCTAAGGATACCCCATGTTTCTAATATGGAAATCAACCCCTTTTTGATTCCTAAAAGCAAGTATTAAAGGGTCATTCTTCATCTGCTCTTAATGCTTCTGCTGTTTTTCAACATAAACGTTTTGGTTCTAAATTCAGTCAATTTTATGTATCGAATGTCAAGTCTATAATCATGAAAAATGGATCCTCTTCCTTTTCGTTTTGGTGCCCCTGGTAACTCAAGCCTCACTTCCTTGGAAATTCTCGATACTTTTTCCTTGTTTGGAGATGATCCTCCTTTTAACCCTTTGAGAGATGTCTCTCAGAAAAATTTTGAACCACTTGGTACGTTTCTTTCTATTTGTATCCGATTTATCTTGTTTATCCTTCGTAATGCCCATTATGATAATCGTGGCTTGATGATTTTCCAGTTATTCCTTCTTCGGGGAAGGAAGCTCCCCTTCTAACTCTTGTTACTCTTATTACTGCATTGCATCAATTTTAGAGGCGGCTTACCACAACCACTATCCCTAAGAGACCCAAGCTTTGCGATGAATCTAATGAAGAAAGCATTGATAGAGCTCGTTCCTAATTGATTGAGGGGATCCATTTGTAGAGAAGGATCGTTTCTTCGGGGACAAGAGATAAAGGTTCCTTCGGGGACAAGTGATAGAGATTCCTTCAGGAACAGAGAGTGTGATTCCTTCGGGAATAAGAGTATGGTTCCTTTGGGGAAAAGAGTATGATTCCTACGGGGACAAGAGTAGGGTTCCTGCAGGGACAAGAGTTTGGTTCCTACAGGAATAAGAGTATGATTCCTTCGAGAATGAGATTATGTCCTTGTGGGGAAAGAGATGATAATCCCTTTGGGGATGTAGATAGATGGTTCATGCGGGAATCCAAAATGTGTATGGTTAGAGAAGATAGAGAAAAGTTCCTTGAGAGGAGAAAGCTATGAGAGTTATTTATAAGAACTTAGAGATAATCTGTGATGGATTTAGAGCAAGGAATTCACGAGGGATTTAAGAGATGAAGAAAGATAGAGGATCCATGAGGTATCACAAGAAATGGAGTAAGAACGGATGAGAATGCCCCGTAATAATAGTGGGATGTTTTTCCCTTAGAGTATGATATGAGATGAGACCATTGGGCCTAAATGATAAGAGAATGTTAAGGCATTAGACATGAGAATAGATAAGAGAAAGAGTAGAGTAGAGAAAGAATAGAGGAGAGATAGATTGGAGAAGAGCATAATAGAGAACAAAGTAAAGCGAAAGAGTAGAGAAGAGATATAAATAGAGACAAAGATAGAGTATGTGTAAATCATGAGAAGTGCCTAACAAGAGGCTAGGAGAAGACTATGAGAAACATAGTAGATGACAGAGAAAGAGATACATGATATGAGAAAGAGTATAAAGAAAAATAAGAGAAGAAAGATAAAAGAGATAGATGAAAGAAGAGAGAATAGACTGTATGATATTAGAGAAAGAGTTAGATGATAGAGTATGAGAAAGAAAGGAAGAGAAAGATAAGAAAAGACAGAAAGAATAACTCACCAAATACATTGTGTCTAATATTGCAGAGATTTTATGTTTTTAAGGTTCCAACAGCAGTCGTGGTACCAGAAGAGAAGACGAGAGCACAAGGATAAGAAATAGATAGTAGGTTGCTATTATTGTATTTTCCATATTGTTCTAATTTTATATGTAACATTTTTATAGCAGACCCGTGATTTGTCCTGGGAAGTAAAGTGTTTTAAATTTTAGTAGAATTTCGCAATTGTAAGAAAACTCTGATATTTCCCTTATATTATACGTTAGAAAATCCAGGTCGTTAAAAGCCTCGACTATTAAGGTCCAGCCTCGACCGTTCAGGTCCAACATCATCCATTCAGGATCATCATTTTGGGTTCAACTTCGGTAATACGATTTTCTCCTTCCTAAGATAAAAGGTATGCCAATCATCTCAAGTACAGTTGTTAAGCTTCCAGTTCAAAGAAAAGACACTTACGACTATATATACATCACTCATATATAAAACTCGAGGTAAGCTAAAAACTCTCTCTCATACGCAAACAAGGATACACTTACTTAACTAATCAAATTCGAATTACAATCATCGACTGATTAAACCATCAGAACGTTATCCCGAGATTTGTACCAAGAGAACTCTTGAATGGTTGTGTTGTATTTTAGGTATGGAATTTCAGAACTCTCTAGCATCATCACGTTTGAGGCCTTCATTAAGATCTAAAAAATTAAAGACTCATCATATATATATATATATATATATATATATATGATGGGTTTTGAGCATTCTAACACTCCTAAGTGTACATGCAACCCTAGAAAACATTGGATCTATGTTTGTCTAAAATACATGCAAAATACTTTTTCCAAGGTTCATAATCCTATCTAGCATACATGGGGAACTTTAAACATAAAAGATAGCTAGAATTACATACCTTGTAGTTGTTATGATTCCTTGAAAACCTTGAGAGCAAAGCACCCCAAGTGTGATGCCTCAAATGTTTCACACAACACCAAATGCTTTGGAATAACTTTAGAGAATGTATAACACTTGTAAAATCGGCTTGCCCACACTTGTTCTTAGTGTAACCGATTTTGGTGAGTAACATAGTCTTTATATAATGTGTCACATCTAGGGTTACACCATGTAAACCCTAATGTGACATGACTCTTCATTTCCATGACCCATGGGTTTGTAACTCCCATGGAGCCTCCATGGAGCATCCAATGGGTTTAACCCAACTTGATAATCCATGGAGCCTTTTAGCCCACTATACAAGTTATGGATGATTTACATAATCAACCATATATTTAATTAGTCATCTTTTGATCACTTAATTAATTCCAAATTAATTCTTGATCAATACTAATCAAATAATACTATTAATATATTAATAAACCACAAGTGTTATTTCTCTCATTTAGTCTATCCAAATGCATGATGCCATGCAACCCAAATGGACCATACCGGGTCGAGTCAAGTACATACCAGAAATAGTTATGGACTTAGACACCTTATCCAACAGAATATAGGGTGAGGTTCAATAGAGAACCATAATTAACCAAGGAACCCATCGTGAGCGTCGGAAATCATAACGATCAACGACCAAGGAAATAGATGTACACTTTTACATTGGACGCACACACACCGGATTATACCAAAAAATTCACCCTTTACAAAAAAACTCACCACTTTTTTTTGTTTAAAATTTTTTTTAGACCATGTTTTTTATCAAAAAAAAAAAAACCGAATATACCGTTGTTCACGATTTTTCGTCCTCTTTCCATAGAAATCCATGATGATATATAAAAAACGAACTTTTTTTTTTCAAAAAAAACCCACTTCATTTTTTCTTTAATGAAAAAAGTTAAGGTCTATTTTTTATAGAAAAAAATTAATAAATATATCAAAATTCATATTTTTGTACTTTTTAAACATAGATTCATATTCATGTTAAAAAAAACGATATTTCAGTTCAGATTCACATTGTGAACCTGTTCAGATTCATATTGTAAACCTGTTCAGATTCACATTGTGAACCTCCTCAGATTCACAGTGTGCATAATAGTAAGTCAGATTCACAGTGTGAATCTGAACTGATCGGAGCTTTTTCACATTGTGAATGTTAAAATTTGAAATATTTACAGTTTAGATTCACAGTGTGAATCTACACTGATCGAGGTTTTTTTTTTTTTGTGAACCTTCTCAGATACACAGTGTGCATAATAGTAATTCAGATTCACAATGTGAATCTGAAATTTTCGAGATTTTTCATATTGTGAATATTAAAAATTGAAATATTTACAGTTTAGATTCACAGTGTGAATCTACACTGTTCGAGGTTTTTTTTTTAATTAGTGTTGATGTTTATTAATAGAGTACAAAAAATTAATATTTTTGGTATAATTAGTTTTTTTTTTAATAAAAATAAACTAAAATATTGAAAAAACTAAGAAAATTAAGTGGGTTTTTTCAAAAAAAAAAGTTCGTTTTTTATATATCATCATGGATCTCTATGGAAAGAGGACGAAAAATCGTGAACAACGGTATATTCGGTTTTTTTTTCGATAAAAAACTTGGCCTAAAAAAAATTTTAAATGAAAAAAAGGAAGTGAGTTTTGTTATAATCCGGTACATGTGCGTCCATTATAAAATTTTACAACCCTTCCTTTTGCCGTTGATCGCTTTAAATTCCGACGCTTTGGATTGGTTCATTGGTTCCTTGATTAATAATGGTTCTCTATTGAACATTTCTCTATCTCTCTCTCTCTCTCTCTCTCTATATATATATATATATATATATATATATATATATATATATATACACACACACACAACACACACACTAGATGTCTGCCTGTGCAAAGCGGCTGCGATAAATACCTTTTTTGGTGAATAAAATCTTACGGAGAAATAATTATTAGATTTTATTATTAGTTATTATGTAATAAAATATTACCACTTCTAAATATAATATTTGTGTTTATACCTTATATTTATATTGCTTCAAATTGAATTTCCTCATTACTTTCCATAATTCAAGTCTTCAAATATTTGGCAAGAATTAATGAATTATTTATACATAATTGATTTGTACAAATAACTTTGTAACTTATACCTCTTAAAATTCAAGATATGACTAATGTGCTTTATAATATAGTATTATATCCCTTTTATTGAAAAAGATTTTAAATACTCAAGAATAAATCAGAATCCAAAATCGTTGTTACATTCACACATTACCTAT